CCGGTATTTTTCAAAAATAGGAAGTCTAAATGTTCTACATAAATGCAAGTTTTTAAAAAGTCCCTGCGTATGTTTAAGTGCAATAAATTAAGAGCAACTGAACTTAGAACATTGATAAAAATTAGCCGCATCGACGAAGGACTAAAATAGTGCCTAAGGTTTAATCACACGAGACGCACCATCGGGCCGTCAGCACCAGGAGAGCCTTTTTCACCTTTCGGACCCGTAGGACCTGGAAGGCCCTGTACTCCAGTGGCCCCAATTATCCCCATGGGACCTGGTGGGCCCATAGGACCAGGGGGACCCGGAGGTCCTTGCTCGCCATCGACACCGTTAGTTCCATCAATACCGGGCTCACCGGGAGGTCCACGGGGTCCGCGAGCACCATCATTACCAGGAGGTCCAGGAGGACCCTGTGGACCTGGAGGACCCTGTGGACCCTGTGGACCTTGGGCTCCAGTAGCACCGACCTCACCTGGAGGTCCGCGAGGGCCTTGAAGGGTCTGACCTTGAAGGTAGGGCCCAGGGCCTTTGACACTCTATACGGAGGGTATGAAAATACCGTGAACTGTAAGATAGTGCTTGTATTCAATATCTTGATGTTATTTTGTCAAGTAAGTTTTAATGGAAATTTATGAGAGCTTTAGGTCGTATTTTAAAACCCTTCTAAACAATAAAAATGACGTCAGCAAAGTTCTCATAAAACTGTAATGCCTGCTTTGGTTACCACAGCGTGACTAAAAGCAAGTGGTATCTTAGACCAGCAACAAAGACGGCTACATCTGGTCAAAGTGCTCAAAATCCACTCAATACCGATTCAGGAGGTGGGTCAGTTTCTTCAGAGTCAGCCCCACCAAAATAAATATCCTCGCCTGCGGTGTCCGCTGCTTGTCGCCGGAATCGGAACATAGATTCAGCTGAAATGAGAATATCAAAAAGACAAATGAAGTTTTAAATTCGTAGTATAATCAGTTATTAGGACATTAACTGTTTAATCGTTCCTTCCTCCAGAGCACCGCACAGAGTCTAAAGGGCCCCACTTCTAAAATATGCAGTTAATTTTTTTATTCCTTAATGCCTGGCGGTATTTTATTGGCTAGTTTTTTCGCAACTTACTCATATATTATGGCACCACACAGAATTATCGGCAGCATGCGAAATGACAAATAACCAGCTTTGAGGTAACTCCAGCAGTCCATCGTTGTTAAAACAGATATCAAAAATAGGTTGGGACGTTCATCGTATGTGCTCGTAAAAAAATCTATCGCAATGCATGTTAAACTTGCATGAAGATACATCTGTTAACTTTAATTGGTATGTGAGTAATAAAGTTATCCATAGCCCACCTGAAGTTAGCAAACAGAAGATCGTTAAAATAAGCAGAATCCTCAAATGCCATCCAGGCATTCGACGTCCGGAGGCCATGTTGTCTCAAGGCTGTAAAGGGAAGAAGTGTGGACTAAGGGTTTCTCCTCGAGAAAAGAAAGGAGAAGCAAGGACTCTTACTCTCACACACCGAGTACTTCTCCAGATGGCGGTGTACAAGCCTCCACTAGTTGCCTGTCCGATTGCTGCTTCTTGCGTTGTAGCGGAAGCAGAGTCGAGACGCCTGTGTTGAATCCCTACCACCGTCGGCAGTCTAGCCGCGAATACCCCTGCCTCCTTTAGTGCCGACCAATCAGCGTGTACTTGGTGCACCCAATTTATCTGGCTGCCAATTGGACGCTTGCACGGGAAGGGCTGCAGTACGAATGCAGGTCGGCAATCATCGATCCTCGCCGCCTCGAGAGGTGTATGCCAAACTGGGACCGTACTTGTAATGCAAGCACCATGAGCACAACCAATTGTTAAAGCACTTACGTAGGGTCAAACGTCCACCAATTTTAGCCAACGTATAAGTTGGTATAAAGTGCCAATTTACTCGCTGTGTTCTTGAAGGATGCCTAAAGCTAACAACCAACTCTAAAATTATTTTATGAATCTCGCTTGATAAAAGAGGTCACAAAGCGTTCATTTTTCGAGTAGTAAGTACTTTAACTTGTCAATTCTAAAGTTTTAAACCTTCACTGACATTTTAAATCCATTCTACATCCTAGAAACTTAATGTAGGTATCGCAAAAGCTCGATTTTGATCTTGTGAGTGGTGTAATGTGCTATGATGTTTAAAACTCTACTAATTGTTGTTATGTGGAAGTTTGTTTAAACTCGTGTGTAGCGACAATGATTGTTAGGTAGCATTTCGCACAACGTTTCGTCCAACAATGCCCCCAATTCACAATGGAGTATCGACGACCCAGGCCAAACGCGCTTAGGTTCGTGTGGAATTAGGTCAGCTGAACGTGATTGGCGAGAGGAATCCCAGCCACTTGCGTGAAGGCCGGGTCCCTGTGCACACAGACACTGTTGCCCTGTTTTTTGCTCCCCAGTAAAGTTTCTCACTCGCATAACAGATTCAGTTCAAACGGAAGCATTCGAATCCAGGTGAAACAAATGAATAACTTAATCATATCAGCACATCCTTTGTAAATGTTTCATTTGAGGTCTATGTGAATTCCAATATCCATCCTAAAAGATCGGTGGAATTTTGCAGAAAAACTTAATGTGAAATGTAGTTTTGGACAAGAATTTTAAATAGAGGTGAACTTTGTACAAGAATTAAGATTGCAGCTACTTTAACACTGTTATCTTCATTTGTAAAATCGACATTGTTCTTGTCAACGTTAAGAATTAGGATTAATTGTACAATGCATCAAACATTGCTTTCTTTCTTTCCTTGCAAAATACTTGGGAAGTGTTCTTTTTGCAAAATAAGGAATCTGATGGCGGCAGGAGTTGTTAGCTTCACATAAGGGATAACACCAAATGCTTGGTGTCGCATAACAAGAGCTCGTTAAAACGTGTGCGCACAATAAGCGAAAGTAGGGTCGAATTGACCGGGAGTTGTATTCCTTGACACCCTCTTATTTCTTAGGTATGTATGACATTCGCACTTTTCTTCGTCTCTTTTGAGCTACAGAGAGAATCAGTGGCAGGAAACCATGGAATGGCAGGGACGAAGACTTTCCATTTGTCATTCTAAGGTTGTCTTTGAAATTAGACATTTTATAGGGCTTTATTAAACGCTGGTTGATTCGGTTCTCTTTTTTCCCATATTTTGCGAATCTACTCATTCCGAGTATGAGGTTCGTCCTCGCTTGTTGTAATCTGCTGGAAATCAGTGTCACATTGCACCTAGAAAGGATGATGAGGGCGCTGAATTTTTGCACAATATTTTTGTTTTTTTATTTAATCGAACTCATGCTATTTAAAAATCGGTGCCTGTTGATTTAGTGATGTGCATTAATCGTCATGACTGTCCCTTTTAGTGGATGCTTGAATGCAAGCTTGACAAATGCCCACCAAATTACAAATTGTGGAATTTTTTCGAGGTAGCAAAGACAAGTTAGAATCTGTTCTTGCATTATTCGGCCATAAGGGGTTAAACCTCCATTCCTGTTAAGAGGCGGAAATGAGTAGGAACCCCTTATTTAAGTTTGGACACCCATTTGGCGACTCTGGTCTAAAACCAGACGACACTGACTAACTTAACTAGTCAACTTCATTTGCCGTAGTGCAGCTAGTAAATACTCTCCAGTAAGCCAGTGAATAGAATAACATCAATTTTGACAAAGCATGACTAGATGCTTAACAATTTTAGTAATTTTACCACATTTCTCCAAATTTCCAACGGACGAGTGCCACTGTGAAGACGCACTGCTAATAATCGATGTCATTGTCAGATTTTGATTTTAAATTCTGACGTTTCATTGAACCTCAAATGTAATCATCTGCTCATGATTTAGAGCTTTCCTTACTTAAACGGTTTTTTGATG